ATTTTTTTATATATATATATATTTATATTTATAAATTCTTTATTAATTATACTTGATTCACTTTGTATACCCCCTGTGGTTCTCTCCCTCCTCCCATCCCAATCCCTTCCTTTCTCCACCCTCTGCATGCATGACCCTCCTCAAGTCCACTGATAGGGGAGGACTTCTTTTCCTTCCTTCTGATCCTAGTCAATTAGGTCTCATCAGGTGTGACTGCAGTGTCTTCCTCTGTGGCCTGGTAAGGCTGCTTCCTCCTCAGGGGGAGGTAATTAAAGAGCAGGCCAATCAGTTCATGTCAGAGACAGTCCCTGTTCCTATTACAATGGAACCCACTTGGATACTGAACTGCCATGGGCTACATCTGCGCAGGGGTCTTAGGTTATCTCCATGCATAGTCCTTGGTTGGAGTATCAGTCTCAGGAAAGACCCCTGTGCTCAGATTTTTTGGTTCTGTTGTTCTCCTTGTGGAGTTCCTGTCCTCTCCAGATCTTACTGTTTCCTGCTTCTTTCCTAAGATTCCCTGCACTCTGCCCAAAGATTGCCCATAAGTCGCAGCATCTGCATTGACAGTCTGCAGGGCAGAGCCTTTCAGAGGTCCTCTGTGTCAAGCTCCTGACTTGTTCCGTCTTTTCTCCTTCTTCTGATGTCCATCCTCTTTACCTTTCTGGATAGGAATTGAGCATTTTAGCAAGAGTCCTCCCTTTTGATTAGTTTCTTTAGGTGTACAAATTTTAGTAGGTTTATCCTATATTATATGTCTATATGAGTGAGTATATACCATGTGCATCTTTCTGCTTCTGGGATAGCTCACTCAGGATGACCTTTTCCAGATCCCACCATTTACCTGCAAATTTCATGATTTCCTTGTTTTTTATTACTGAGTAATATTCCATTGTGTAGATATACCACAATCTGTGCATCCATTCCTCCACTGAGGGGCATCTGGTCTGTTTCCAGCTTCTGGCTGTTATAAATAAGGTTGCTACAAACATGGTTGAGCAAATGTCCTTACTGTGTACTTGAGACTTTTTTGGATATATGTCTAAGAGTGGTATAGCTGGATCTTGAGGAAGTGTTATTCCTAGTTGTCTGAGAAAAGACCACATGGATTTCCAGAATGGTTGTCCAAGTTTACATTCCAGTTCTGTTTGATTTTATCCTGGCCTCAAGGATGTCTTGCCTCTGGTTTCTGAATACCTAGGCAGAGTTAGGCATGAGCTTCATCTAGTGATGTTTTCCTCAAATTGGACTAGTCATTAAGACACTCCCACAATTTCTGTTCCACAATACCCACACTTTTCTTACAGCAGGAAATAATTAAACTGAAGGCTGAAATCAATAAAATAAAAAAAAGAACAATACAAAGAATCAATGAAAGAAAGAGTTGATTCTTTGAGGAAATAAACAAGATAGACAAACTCTTATCCAAATTAAAAGATAATGAGAGACTATTCAAATTAACAAAATCAGAAACAAAAATGAGACACAACAACAGACACAGAGGAAATCCAAAGAATCATTAGGTCATATTTTAAAAACCTGTACTCCACACATTTGGAAAAATTTAGAAGAATTATAGAAGAAACCAGAGTTTTTCTTCCCTTTCTCAGCATGTATACAAATAGTATTTGCAAATAAAAATTGTTATAACTAGAATCAATGTTGTAAGACAGTATAAAAGGGTTTTCTCTTTTGTTCATTCAAGTGTACTACAAGTGCTTCACCTAGGGCAATTCAGCAGGAAAAGTGGTTCTGTGTATTAGACTGAAAAAACATTTCAGTAAGTTGAGTTTAATACTTTTCCAGGTAACAGCTCAGGCCTGAGATAAGTCAGGGCAGGTACTCTAGGTAGGAATCTGGATGCAGAGATTGAAGACAAAACCATAGAGGACCACTGTTTTTTCATACAGACTATGATCACCTGCCCAGGGATGGAACCACCCATAGGTGATTGGGCCTTCCTACAACAATTAAAAGTCAAGAGAGTGCCACAGAATCTGACTACATGTCATTCTGATTGAAGCAATTATCCACTTGAAGCCCCTTTGTATAATTCTAGTTCATGTCTACTTGAGAGCTGAAGCTAAATGGATAACCCTAGTCCCATACGCTGAGGAAAAACGATGTATAACAAGGCTTTGGGAAACATTCTAGATCCAACTGATGACAGGCAAGATGAGAAAGTGAACAGAACCTGAGAGTCACATCAAGCTGTATGTTCTGTTCCTTCACGGACTGACAAAGAAAGAGATTGATTTCATTCTGCTTTATTCTGGTATCACTTACAGTGAGTGTTTAACTGTTAAAGGAGGTGATAGGCTCACAACTTGTTGTCTCCAACCAATATAAATGCTTTCCTTCTGGCACATAAATATTTTAATATAATCATTTGATTCTACTCACTGCTGCAATTTGACTGAGTAAATAATATTCTGATGATTTCAGAGTGATAAGTCAGAAGCTAAATCAATGAATTACAGGAAAAGCAAATTTGTGGCAATTGGACAAAAATTTAGTTTACCTAAAGAAAAAAAAGAAAGAAAGAAAAAAGAAAATATTTCTCTTGAGGTTTTTTGTTTGTTTGTTTTTCCTTGAGGCAGGGTTTTTCTGTGTAACCTTGGCTGTCCTGAAACTCACTCTGTAGGCCAGGCTAGCCCAGAACTCACAGATAATCTCCAGCCTCTGCTTCCCTGAGTGCTGAGATTGAAAGCTTGTACCACCACCTCCTGACTTCTCTTGAAATTTTTACATGTATTTTTTTAAAATCTAGTTCCAGGTGCCTACATCTGTTTGATACCTCTGCTGTCACATTTCTCTGTGGAATCCTAACCTCCAGATGCCCCCTGCATACCTTACCCTTGACACATTGTTTTTTCCCAGAGTGCTTGTTGATTTATTGTATACATGTCAAAATGGTGTTGCAACTTATTTCCTATCAGCTCTCCCATCCTACAAACTAAATTAATACTTCAAATTAACTTAATACTTTTGTTTTTCAATTCCTAGTAACACTGTTTGCTTCTTTTAAATAGTGATGCTGTTCCATTTCCTCATAGAATAAATAAATACTCTCTAAATTGTATAAATCATGCTTTATGATGCAAACTAATTCTTATCATGATTTACCCATTATAGGAGTAATGAGTACCAAAAAAGTTCTCACATATTTGTTTAAAGAAATCTGTGATTATTCCATAAATTCTCATCATCCTATTTGTATTACATATATTATAAAAGTGTTCTAGATTAATAGCCTTCCTATTTTTATTGACCTATATTTAATCAAACCTTCATGACCAGGTCTCTGAGCCATTACTGTTACGCAAATCTAAATAACTTTGGCTGTCTTCTTGCTGTGCTTTGAAACAGTCTGTGTCTCCAGCATCATCATCTCCTGTATTAACTTCAGTAAGGTAATTTACATATTCATGAGCACTCTCACAGACTCATAGACACTCCCAGAATTTTCTTCACTTTTTTTGTCCTTGTAGTACCACCAAACAGAAGTCCTTGATTCTTTTTTTCTGTTTTTCTATATTTTTATTTTTAAATAAATTTATGCATTCACTTGTATCCCAGCTGTAGCCCTCTCCCTCTTTTCCTCCTGATCCTCCTTCTCTCCCTCATCTCCTCCCTTCCCCCTTCCAAAGTCCTTGATTCTTAGAATATAACTTGAGCCATAATGAGTAATCCCCTTAGTTACCAAATTCTCTGTCATCATTTTTCATTTTCCCTTATCTTCTGATTTCTGAGAAGGTAACAGGTGTTGATAGGCAGAAGAGGAAGGAAGGTAGAAGCATTTTGAAAACAGATGAGATCTTCCTTCCCTGCTGTGTGACCTTAATAACTGGAGGATGAGGGGAAGGCGCAGAATAACTAGAGCTCGAGATGGAATGTCAGAACTACAGTGACCTGAACATGTGGAATCTGTCTGAGACAGTGCTAAAGAGGAACATGGTTGAAGACTATTACTGGAGAAATATGGAGACATTTCATACTTGTATCCTAACAGGGTTTTGGGAAGTTTAAAATTTATGGTAAGTAAGAAGATTGTAATTGTACAATACATGTCTTGCTTACCATTAGACCTGCAAATTTGCTTTTAGAGAGCAATTTGCCTTCAAAACCTATCTCCAAATTTCTATCTTCTTGTGAAAATGGGTTTATTGAATAACAGTGATCTTTTGCTTTGATTCTAAGTTTAACCGTCTTGACTTTCTGCTTCTAAAGTAAGGGAATAAGAAGAGTGTTATTGGCAAACCACACCACTGAGTAGAAAGTTTTTACAGGGATATTACAATACCACAGACTAATTTTATATTAAATGAACAAAAGACTATATCACAAGTTTTTACATACAATAAATTTGTTCATACAATAAATTCTGACCATAGCCTCTCCTTCCTCACTTCCCCCCAGCTCTCTCCTCCACCTCCCTTCTTCCACAGATGCACTGCTCCTCTATTCCCTTCAGAAAAGAGCAGACCTCACAGGGACAGCAACTGAACACAGCCACAGCATAACAAGATACAGTAAGACTAGGCATGAACCCTCATGTCAAGGCAAGGCAGTGGGAAGAAAAAGCTCCCAAGTAAAGGTAAAAGTACCCCATTTTCACTGTGAGAAGTACCACTAAAACGTCATTTCTTTTTTTTTTTGTATTTTTTTTCTTATCAGTTACATTTTATTAACTCTGTACCCCAGCCCTGTCCCGATCCCTCATTTCCTCCCAGTCCCTCCCTCCCTCCCTCATCTCCACCGTGCCCCTTGCCAAGTCCACTGATAGGGGGGACCTCCTCCCCATTCATCTGATCCTGTTTTATCAAGTATCCTCAGGACTTCAGGACTGGCTGCAAAGCTCTCCTCTGTGGCCTAACAAGACTGCTCCTCCCTTGGGGGTGGGGAGGCCAAAGAGCCAGCCATTGAGTTCCTCTAAATAATCAGTTTTATTTTTAACGTCAAATTAATTCTACCCATGTGTACATGCAGAAGAAAAACAATCAAAGGAAGCATTGATGGTCTGCATTATCAAGGTCGACCCCAGTAATGGCTGGTTGGATGCATGCTTTGCAGTTGTTGTTATAGATGACTCGACACTTCAGGGTCTGGAGATAAGTGGCAACCTTATCAGTTTCACCGTGAAGGCAGTGGAGTAGGTCACTAAGAGCAAAATGACGAGTATTTTTATTGGCAGATCTCACATCTGCCAATCCCATCCAAGCAGGGTAGACATTTTCTTCAGCTCCAGGGTGAACCTAATTGCTAAGAGAATATGTATGATTTGGAGTATTCAGTTGTTATGCTTTTCCTTTCGTGTGTGCGTGTGTATGTGTGTGTGTATTCATGAATGCCCACATGTGCAAGCATGCATGCACCTTTCCTTTTTCTTCCTTCCTTCCTTCCTTCCTTCCTTCCTTCCTTCCTTCCTTCCTCCCTCCCTCCCTCCCTCCCTCCCTCCCTCCCTCCCTCCCTCTCTCTCTCTCTCTCTCTCTCTCTCTTTCTTTCTTTCTTTCTTTCCTTCTTTCTTTCTTTCCTTCTTTTTTTCTTTCTTTCTTTCTATCTTTCTCACTGTTTTCTTCTTTTTAGACTTGGGTTCTCTTTCTTTATCAGGGATTTGCATATCTCTGACTCCCCAGTACTGGAATTAAAAGCATAAGCCACCATATCTAATTTTTGACCCTAATGCTTGCCATGAAGGGTCGTATAGACTGACATACTTCCCAGCTCCAGTCCATAGTCATTATAATTTTGAGAAAAAATGGGGGAAAATTAGAAATAAAAGTTTTCAGTCAAAATCAGGGCACCAACTGAAGACCTATTTTCTGTTGAATTTCCTGGTGTATGAGGTTCTCAGTAAGGAAACTCAGAGGATGTTGGTGTATGAGGTTCTCAGTAAGGAACCTCTTACTGTCACACTGTGAACAAGTTGGAAACTTAAATTTAACTCTTAGAATTTAGGTGTTTGTAAAGTATTTTCCCATGGGGCAGGGGTCAGGGAAGCAAAGCAACCTAGAGAAAACACTCACCCTGTCAAGGATTGCCTTCATTTATTCTAGAAGTTCTTGATTTTTTTCCCTTCCCCTTCTTTGATTTTCAACAGCATAGTCTCACAAGCTCCTTCAAGAGCAGCCACTGCATGCACTAGGGGTTTCAGAGGATGGTACAAGGCTCCAGAAATGCTGATCATCACTTTCAGAAGGTCATCTGGCTAATCAACCAAGTTGAAACATCACATTAAAGTAAGTGAAATACACTATGGTACACACATGTGATAGTTGCACAATGGTGATTAACAGCAATATCTATTTGAATTAATAAGTGTATGGAAAATGTTTTGGTATATGACATATTATAAAAATGCAAATTTTAGGCCCCAGAACCATAGTTTGCTAAATAGAAGCAATTAGTTTGTAATTTTTTTTTTTCCCCCTGGGAAACCAAACAGATTATATTTTGTTTTTCCTTTACAACCTATCATCTCCACTCCTCATGAGATCTTTTTTATTTGGTTATTTCTCCTGTCCACGAGAAAACAAAGTTTTGCTGAGACTAGGTAGGTGTCCACAGGGCCTGACACAAATAAAAACAGATGCCAGCATTATCAGAGGCAAATGGCCCAAACCATTTTCATGCCAAAAAATCAAATTGGTCATTCAGCTACAGCTAAGATACAAAGTGAATAACTGTAATTAATTAAAAAAAGAAAAATACAATACAATGTCAACATATTCATGAAAGGCTTTTCATGGTCTACATTACTTCCTTTCCCTGGTCTCTAGTAGAGCAGCCCATTTACATATTTAGTATAAGAACCTTCTTACAGCATTGCCTTTAACATTGATGTAGAACCAGCTGGGCTCTAGACACACAAATACCCCTCCCCCACCCAGTGTATACTCATTGTCAAGATCCCACATGACATTCCTCTCCAATTTAAGATACTTGTAAATTCTCTTAGCAACTCTAGTGGTAATTAAATCGGATCATAGAGAGGAACCCTCACAAACACTGTGCTGTATACCTGTAAAGAACATAAAAGTAAGAAGCAGGCCAAATTGTGATGGCAAAACAGGTTGCTAGGAGCACTGTGGTATGATGATTAAGCGTGATATCCTGAGGTGAAAGAAGCACAAACTCACATTCTTGTCTGGCACACCTATGATGTAATAAGGTATGTGTAATCTTCTGAAGCTTTTCTTCATAATCTTCCTAATGATACATTGTGTTAGAGGACTTTTGTGAGGATTGAATGCATCAGTGCCAGCAAAGTGCTTTCTGAAGTGTCTAGCTTTGAGGATATGTTCCCCTTTTCTTCCTCCTCTTCTTTCTTCATTATAGTCACATTTTTATTAATGGGAATAGCTTCTGTCTAGAAGATAGATACTACCTAATAAAATAATAGAAAGTGGATTATATGTATGATATACATATTAAGTTTAGTTTAAATTATACTGAAATTTGCTCTAATAAAGAGGAACAGTGGATAGATCATAACAATTAGGAGAAGGCAGAACAATTAGACACAACTACACATGAAATATAAAATCAGACTGAAATAGGATAGTATTGAATCTCAGAAACAAATGATACACTGGTCAGTTAAGAAAGACTCAACTAATCAAGATGTCGAAGCAGAGGCTGACACTCATAGCCAAGCTTTGATCAGAGTGCAGGGAACCTTATGAAAGAAGGGAGGGTTAGAAAGACTCGGAGGGGACAGGAATTCCAAAAGAAGACCAACAGAGGCATAAAACTGAGCCCTGGAAGCCCTGCAGAGACTGATACCTCATACAAGGACCATGCATGGAGACGACCTAAAACCCCTCCTCAGATGTAGTCCATAGACTCAGTATCCAAGTGGAGTCCCTAGTAAGGGGAGCAGGGGCTTCCTCAGTGACATGCTCTTGATCACCAACCCTGGAGGGTGCAACCTTGCCAGGCCATAGAAGAAGACAATGCAACCAGTCCTGATGAGATCTGATAGGCTAGGGTCAAATAGAAGGGAAGGAGGACCTCCCTATCAGTGGATAGGGGAAGGGCATATGGGGAGAAGAGGGAGGGAGAGTAGGAATGGGAGGAGACAAGGGAGGAGGCCACAGCTGGGAAACAACTTGAATAAATTGTAATAAATGATAATTATAAAAAAGAAATGCTGGCAGTGGAGAAGCATAAATGGAACTGTATTGGCATCTCCTGCACATGTGCATGAGAACATATATAGTCACGAATGTCCAACTTAGGTTAAAGTAATTACAGTCCTATAAGCATGGCACTGGATTAAAACAACAACAACAACAAAAACCTATCCTGTGTGAATTATTTATGACTCTGCTACTATCTGAGCTATCTTAAATTTTAACTTATAATACATTAACAGTATAATGTTATTTGTTTTGACTGTTCATTCTTCTCAATTTTGTTGAAGATGTTATGACACTCCTATAATACACCTGCAATAAGCAACAGGACAGTTAACTAGTTGTTTTGGTGCCAACCAGGAGTGATGATTTACTTGTGTCTGTTGGATTTGTTCATTGTTTCTTGGAGTAGCAAGGGAAGTAGTGTGACAGGTGCTGGGGTTCCTGGCTCTGTACCCCAGGCGATTGGCAAAGTTTTCATCCTGAAAATAGTAAAATATTTTAATTTATTAGAGAGTCAATTTAAATAAGTACACCTATTATCAGTATATAAGTATATTTTATAGATGTGTAGTTTATAACAAATATGCACTTCCTAAACATTGAATGATTAAACAAGCAAAATCTGCTTACATTTTCCTCATTAGATATGCAACTCAGTGTTTAATCTCAATTTCTAACCTCTGAAATTCTTTTTATCCTTACTATTATATTGTTATATTGCCCCTTCTAAAAATTAATTTGCAAAGAAATCTATATAAAAACTTTTACTCCAAAACACTAAGTGTTTAAAGTCTTTTATTTTTAACTTGAGTTGAATGACATAGAGCAGTACATTCATATGTATGAATCTATTATTTACTGTTGTTCTAACTTGATATATTAATTTTTATTATATATTTTGAAAGTTTACCTCTTTTCCAATTACTAGTGACTTTTTATGTGTGGACCACCTCAAGTTCATGATAAACTCACACAGCAATTGTGTTGATGTTGTCAAAATTAATTATAAGAATCAAGGGACAACATAATGTGAAGGCAAAAAAGAAGAAGAAGAAGAAGAAGAAGAAGAAGAAGAAGAAGAAGAAGAAGAAGAAGAAGAAGAAGAAGAA